TATATCATTTCTCATGTTGATTGTCTTATTCATACTGTTTTGACTTATATTGAACCTTTTCAGTTTATTTTGTTCAGATTTCAATTCAATTTTAAGATAATCATTTTTCAAAGCAGACCATTCCTTTAATGAGTTAGCAATACTTATCTTATCCTCAATAATGATAATTTGCTTCTCAAGCTCAGTGATGACATAATTACTTTCAAAAGCTTCCCTCGTGCTATCAGCAATTTGTTTCCTTAGATCTTCATTCCCTCCTTTTGCTTGGATAAGCTTTTTTGCTTGCTTATTGATTGCCTGTTTTACGTCCATAGTTTCTTTGACCATCTTTTTTAATCTTTCATCGTCCTTTTCAGCCTCTTCCACCTGTTCATCATGAACTTTATTGTCTTCGTTATCTGAAATATCAGAGTCAAATAAAGTAACAACATGAGTTCAAGAAAAGTGACATAGAAAAAATCATTAGTATCATCCTGATGAGAATCATTATCACTTAATGTAAAATTTTCAGACATTGAAACTTTCATTGCTTTTCCTTTATTCCTATCTTTTTGTTCTTTCCTAGTACTAGGACAAACATTGGATGCATAACCTTTGCCACCACAATTCCAACAAATGAATTCAATTTCTTTTGATTCTTCTACTTTTTTCTCATTAAACCTAAACTTTGACGTCTTGTCAAAATTTTGAGGATTAGCCATGTTGCTATTCCTTCTCATCTATTGTCTTTATAAAATCTGATTGAACTGCCTTGACAAAAATGCAAGATCATCATCAAAGTTGTCATCCACAAAATTCTCAACCTATGTAGATTTTAAAGCAAGATTCTGCTCCTTCTGATTTAAATCAAAGTTCGGCATCTCAAAAGTTTTCAATGAACCTACCATCTCGTCAACTTTACAGGTAGTCAAATCCCAATGTTCAGTGATGGTTTCAACTCTAATTTAGAATCTTTTAGGTAAAGACCTTAAGATTTTCTCACAGATTTTCTTATCACTAACTTTTTTACCTAAGTGACATAGTTCAGAAATTATTTCAAGAGTAGAATAAAAATCTGAAAAGGATTCATCTTCTTTCATCACGATGTTCCCAAAGTTATAAGAAAGCATCTGAATTTTGGATAAATTCACTTTTAAAGTTCCTTCGTGAGTAACCTGCAAAATATCCCACACTTCTTTAGCAGTTTTACAATCAGAAATTCTAGCATATTCAGATGGAACAACAGAATTAATAATTGCATATAAAGCTTTGCCATTATTAGCATCATTACTCTCAGTTTCAACAGCAATAAAAGCAAAAACATCTTTTAACTCTTTAATTACTTTACCATCCACAATTGTATCTACTATAGGTGGTATATAACCAGATTCAACTGATTTTCAAAAATTGTAATTATCTCCTTCAAATATAAGACCACATTGATTAGAACCGTCTTCTTTCAACGTATAAGACATGATTTTGAAAACAATTTTTGAAAAACAAAACAAAACTTTTCAACACGGATCAACTCAATGTGTAGAGATTGGCTCTTATACCAAATTGTGAGTTGTACGCAGCAGAATATACTTAGAAAGTTTTGATTATTTAAAAAACAAATCTTGTGTTTTATAACTTAATTTATTTTGGCAATTAATAAATTAATATCATGCAATCTAAAATAAAGCAAAGTAAAGTTAGAGATGACACCAGGATTTTAGCGAGAAAACTCTAGTTGATAAAATACGTCAACTGTTTAGGTGGAAAAACCTCGTGGACTGTGTAGTCCAAAGTAAACTGATCCACTATGCTTGAAACAAAATATACTAAACTTTGACTCTGGCTCACACCCTATCATTCTACCAAATACCAACTGCTGACAATCCTTTGGCTTTGCAACTCCTCGTCCAACAGCAACTTAACCTCAAGCATATACTTGATCTTTGTAGAAGAGTAATAGGTAGATCAGACAACAATCCTGGAATGCTCCAACCCTTTCAAAGTGTGATCGCTTTTACTTATATTCTTTAATCGTCTGAATTCGATGTAAAAGAAGATTTACTTTTGTCTAATCGATGTAGATGCAACTCTATGATCATGATCAGGATTCGAACAACACAACTCTAAACTCATTAAGTGTTTATGTGTATATGTTCTAGAAAGATAAATAGAAAATTCTCTAAGAATTTCTGAGACAAAAATCTTCCTAAGACTTTTTAAGAATAACAAACTATAATACAAAAGCCATGAATAAACCTATATGTATGACAAGGTTTATATAGAGTTTAGAATGTCCTAGTCCCTCTGAAAATATAGAAAATTCGTGTATAGGACTCGGTACAATTCTAGACCAACTAGGAAAGAATTCTGAAACAGGAAACTGAAAGTTAGAAACTAATCAGGACTACTTAAATCGGTTCAGAGGGGCTGAACCGGTTCAAGATTGGCAGAGTGTATTTGAAGCCAACCTTGAGCATCTTGAACCGGTTCAGAGGTGCTGAACCGGTTTAAGTTTGGCAGACTTGATTTCATTGGTTCCTTTAGCCTAAAATCATTCTACGGTAAGTTCTAAAAAATATGGAAAGTGTAGAATATGTCCAACCCTGTTTAAAATCCTTCCTAATGTGTTGTTCTTACCTTTTTCTTCAAATGATCTCAATGTGGTAACTTTGAACAACTTTTCCAATTTCATAGTCATCGTCGATCTTAATAACTTGCAGTATAAGTAACTGGAATTACAACTCGACATAGACTTGTTTTGTTTACGATAATTGTCAGATAAAATAAAATAATATCTCGCAGAGGGAGATCACCAAACAAAATTAACTTCATGATACCAACAAGCTCAACAGAAGCCATCTCAAACCTTGAAAGCATTGATTTGGCCACCTAGAGTTCCTTAGTCCTTTCATGGAGCAGCTTTTTTAACCTTGCAACTTCAACAATATGATCAACCTTAGAAGCATCCATTATAATATCATCAACATCAACTCCCTCTGGCAACTACATTATGTCTTCAATTAACTTGTTTGATGGATTCAAAATCTTATCCTACGGAAATGTATTATTAATCTTATCGAATGTTGAACCAGTGACAGAAGGAGGTCTAGGACTAGAAAAAATCGACGTAGCTTTCCTTTGGTTAGAGCAGCTATTGGTGGAATATTGGCTGGGGTGATATTTTTTGATGGGTGAGATTTAACTAGGTACACACTATAACAAATTTGGGTTCTTGCCACAAGACACTTCGTGGTAAAAGCCTTTTAGCCACAAGAAATAGCTCATGGCTCGGTCGTGGGCGTAGCTCCGTCACAGAATGCCAATAACCACGACTAAAAATTTTTGTGGCAAAATGCGGACTTTTTGCCACAAATTTGAACTCGTGGTAAAATACCTTCTATTGCCACAAGCTATTTCATTACTAAATAACAATACTTTCGTGGCAGCTAGCAATCCCAATATAGGAATGAATCGTGGCTAATTCAATCTTTTTGCCGCAAAAATATTTATCGTGGCTATAATTTTAATTGCCCACGAATATATGTTGTGACAACTATCTAAAATAGGCCATGGAGTTTATTCGTGGCTATAATTTTAATTGTCCACGAACATATGTTGTGGCAACTACTCAAAATAGACCACGGAGTTTATTCGTGACTATAATTTTAATCGGCCACAAATATATGTTGTAGCAAATATCCAAAATAGGCCACAAAATTTATTCGTGGAAAATGTTCCCATTTTTTCAATATATTAATTTTCTTTAAATTTATATATATTAATAACATATTAATATGGCACCAATTATAATATTATAACCTATAAATTATTAACATTATAAACAATATCAAAAATAAATTTTAATAAAACATCAAAATGATTATTCAAATAAATAAATACTTGATATTACATAAGCCACACGAACCAAAAAAATATTTTTTACAACATATGCAATAAAGCCCATCACGCAAAAAAAAGAGTCTTAGCTTCTGGACAAAAACAAGCTAATATCCTAAATAGAATGTTCCGATATCTTAGACAAAAATGAGCTATAGAATCCTAAACAAAGGGTTCAAAGATCTGAACATAAACTACTTAAACCGTCTTAAAGAAAAAGAGCTTGAATTCTTATAGCATGAGTTAATCCAACAATCCGCAAAACCAACAATGAATAAATACAATTATTGCCTATGTCAAAAAAATGAACCCAAAGCTAAGTTTTCAAAATATGCTACATGAAAAATATATATATATATAAATAGAAAATAAGAACACCAATAGAAAAGATAAATCAACTCATTAAAGATAAGGAAAAGTATAAATAGAAAAGACAGAATATTATTAAGATTTATCCCTGACAAGTTAAGCTTTGAAAATTCAATATGCATGTAAGAATATTTACTTTGTAAAACAAAACTAATCAGATTACTTTTTATGTAATTCCTCGCTACGTTACAACAAAAATGATTATTAATAACATGGTATTTACAAGATACAAAGTCAAGTGTTATTAATTAGTTATTAATTAGTTACCTTTGTAAGATGCTCATTATTTTAGTCTACAATACTTTTAGACCCTTGGTCTACATTAGCTTAGTTTTCTACCAGCTTTCTACGGAACCTTTCCAAGATGCAATAAGAAATTCATAAATCATGAGCTGCATAGGCTTGTTTTCATTTCCTTTTTATAATTCAATCTTTTTCCATTTTTACCTTTAGGCCTTCAATCTAACACTCAAAACCATAAAATAAGGATGTCTGGAATTTTCAGCAAAGTCGTTCTGAATTTCAATGTAGACGATCATTAAACATCCTATATAGTTATTGGTAGTTAAATAGAAGAAGTGGTGCAAACTTGGAATTTCTCATGGAACTTGCTTAAAAACTCTTTTAATCAAGTTTATGGTTGAAAACAATCAATTCCAAACTCAAAAACCCCACAAACCCAAAATCAGAAGCCCCACAGAGTCAGACTACACGAACTAGCAGTTTTGAATAAAAAATATTCAACATGTGAAGTACCTACAAATTTTTAAACAATTTAAACATTCTCCTTTCAGATATCTAAACGGGTATCGTTAAAGTATATCACAAAATTAGCAATTAAAATAGTTGGCTAACTTACTACTAAAAAAGCAGAAAAATACAATAAAACTGACAAAGAAATCAAATCAAAACAAGAATTTCTTAGTATTGACAAAAAAGAGATGTAATATCCAATTTCAGTAATAAACCTTGCCGGAAAATAACAAATTTCAACAAGACCACACACCTAGCTGACTATATGAACATTTTAATGCCATCAAGTATACAAGACACAAGAATAAATAAAAAAAATAAAGATTAATATAAGCCAATAAAAAAAAGGTAAAGGAAATCAAAAGTGTCTTACCTAGTCCTTGTCAACAAGCGAAGTGTCAGTTGTAGCTTGAGGAGATTCCAAGAACTCCAGTAAATTTACTGAAATTTCTTCCTAAAAACATATCTCAGACTGATAAGATGATTGGTCATTCTAATGTCCCGCATAAAAAGAAGAAACATCATTTGTGGAAACTCACCTTCTTTGCGGTGGTTTTGTTTACTGGAATATTGAGGATATCACAAAAATCCAACAATATTTTTTTAACACATTTGTCAAGTTTCTCCTTAACTTTTGTCCTCTATTTTTCCTCCTGAAGATAAGAATAAACCAATAAATATAGGTTTTGGGGACAAAATCAATCATGTCTTTATTTATGCATGCACATAAATATCTGCGAAAAAATACAATAGGGAAGAAACTCTTGCACATGAGAAGTAGATAAATGATTAAATAAATATGACCCTCCAAAAACCATAAAACACCTGATTTCAACCCAGACATATCCAGAAAACTGGTCTATATTTCTCTTCAGACTATGTGCCTGCAAAAGAAAACAACCACACTAAGTTTAATCTAGACACAGCAGAAAACGGGAAACTTAAAGCAAAATTATTGCCAAATGAATTAAACCACAAAATCATATTGACTGACTTGTTAAAAGAATCGAGTATAAGACTACCTTCGTTTTCTTTCCAAAACATCTTTCTATCTATTCTATGCATTTATTTGACAAGTAAGTTTTGACAAAAAATAAAAAATAATAATGAAAGGGTGTTTTAGCTATGTCACAATGCCTTTGTGGGTGTGACACCAAAATTACATCTTGAGATTCCAAAACATCTATTTTGTGCATTTATTTGTGAGCAAAACATGCAAGACTTTGAATTAATCTTCCAGTAATTATGCAGACATGCACACGTTAAACCTCCAAAAGTAAACATAACATGAATAAGGCAAGGAAAGTGTTCAAAATAAAAAATACATCTATCATTTGGTTTTTTTAAAACAATTGGGGAAGTTTTTTATTAGAACCTGATATGCAGAGATTTTATCTTTCTTTTTTTTTAATTAAAATTTTACATTATTATATCATTTAATTAATACATTATCTTGGAAGAAAAAATAAGCTTGTGAACATTTTAATAATTAGAAATTGAAAAATTATACACAAATACTATTTTATGTGATTAGGAACTAATGATATTCTTAAATTTTCAGCTAACTCATACTCTCCGGACTTCATATCATGAAACAAATTTTTTTGGTGTGTTAATATGAATTCAAGACGCTTAGATGACAAAAACACAAACAAAGCACGTTCAGTCCATAAATATACCATATTTACAATACCGACTTCGATTTTTACAGAAACTCTTTGAGAATGGCTGCCCACTAAAAATTCAGACTACAGAAGACCCCCCAAAACCGGAAGTAATTTTAAAAATTCCCTACTCTCATACTTACATGACAAAGAGGGTTCTCATCAAGACCTCTGCATAACATAAAACCTAAAAACCACCCTTTTATATAGGTTAAGGACTACTCTTTACTTATAGACAGACACTATACATACATGATGATGATGACCCTTTGAACATATTTACACTGGCAAAGGACCCTTCTCTCTCAAAAATGTTTAAAATTCTAGTTACTAGTTACTAGCACCACATTGCACTTTTTCTATTTTCTATTTCATGTTGCTTTGAAATTGTCTACCCAACCCACTGTGATTAAAAAGAATAATAATAACATGAAAAATAATAATGAATTAACTTATAACATGAAAATTCAGAGTTAAGAGAATCAAAAGAGAGAACAAATGTAAATAAAGAAATAAATAAATAAACCCCAGTAGTAGACCGTCAAAGATTAGATCTAGACATACCAGAAGCAGCAACACCAAAACTCACTGCCAAAATTAAAAATAAAAAAATTAGGCATCTCTTGATAACATATATCTTGAAAACATGTATGATTAATACATAAAACCTTAAAGAAGTTCTCAAATTTTTTACCTACAAAATGGAAACCTGGCATTAACTTCGGTCGTCTATGGTGATGAAGAAGAAGCCGATGACGGTTGTGCGCTTATGAAGTGATTGTGAGTGAAGGTGGAGCGAGAGATTCGATCTGAATCGTCTTCTGTAATCTATCAATGAGATGAGAGGCTGGGATATATCGATAAGTCTATTGTCGAATTTGGGATCGAATAAAAAAGGGCTTGAGTTCTGTCAATAGATGCGAACGAGATAAGAGAAAGGGATAGCAATACCAAAAATATAAAAGGTTGGGTTAGGAACGGCATAAGATGGAGTTTCCCAATTGATTCAGCTAGCGCGCGAGGCCGGCGCGGCGGGAATTTTATGTTTTTTTAGGTTTTTAGGACAAAATATGGAGAATTTCCTGCAAAGTGTTTATTAAAAAACTAATTTTTTTTCATTTAAATAGAATTGCTTCTTAATTTAATAAAAAAAATATTCATCTATTTATAAAATAAAATTATTTTATTTTATTTATTTATTTATTTAATAAATTAATTAAGGTGGGAATTTTAAATTTTTTAGGTTTTTGGGACAAAATATGAAGAATTTCTTCTAAAATGTTTATTAAAAAACTAATTTCTCATATAAATAGATTTGTTTCTTAATTTAATAAAAAAAATTCATCTATTTATAAAATAAAATAATAACTTTTTTTATAATTACTTATAATACCAACATAACCAGAATTAATCAATAGTTAATACCAACATAACCAGAATTAATCAATAGTTAAAATAGAGATTAATTAAGAAAGGGCTAGCCTGATTGTTGATGTAAACATATTGATTTAAAGTTAATAGTCCTTCCCTTCGTGCGAGTATTGGCAAAACTAGTCAACTCCAAAATACAACCCAATAAGTTTGAGTGACATCTCATTTATGTGCACGACCACATGACTAACTCCAAGTCTATATAAATCTAGTTGCTCATAAACTCAATCTGTAAAAGTACTCTCAAGGAAGGAAAGATAGATAGATGATATTTTACTAATAGGGTCACAGTCTTATACACGAAAATATCATACTACGTTTTTAAAATATACCTTAAAGTCATTCTCTAGATATTTTATATACAGGATAATACTTTAGGCCTGCCTTATCAAGACAAATTGTGTCTTGTATACTAACGTGTCCTAATAAGAGGTTGACACCTCTTTTAAACTTAAAAAGATACAAAACATGGGTCATACCCATTTTTAGGGTTAAACCTGACAAATCTATTTTTTTCCCTTTTTGCTTCCATCAGTGTATCTCGCTTCGTCTGCATCTTTCTTTTTCCTTAGCTCCAGCTGCCAATCATTCCAAACCTAATCTTCCCTACCAGGACCTCCACCACTCCGCTTCAAACTGGATTTCGATTTCGTCTTGGCAATGATTGATTTATTTTCTTGAAACAAGTATGTTAAAATATTATATTTTCTCGTGTAAATTTGAGGTAAATTTTTAAAAGGGAGAAATATAAATGGTTAGTTCAATTTTTTTTAACGATAGTTTTCTATCTTAAGAAAATTAAAAATAACAGAAAAAAGTAGGAAAGACAAATTTCCATGAGTTGTTCTCTAGAAACAAAATTAAGAGAAGACACATTCAATATTAGGATTTGGAATGATTGGTGGCCGAAGCTAAGGAAAAAGAAAGATGTGGATAACATATACATAGATGGGACCAAAGAGAGGGAAAAAAAAATAGACATGTTGGGTTTAACCCTAAAAAAAATTAGTATAATCCATGCTTTGTATTTTTTTAAGTTTAAAATAAGTGTCAACTTTTTATTGAGATACGTTAGTGTACAAGACAAAATTTGTCCTGATGGGACAGGACTGAAGTATTATCCTTTATATATATATATATATATATATAATAAAGGATAATATATATATATATATATATATATATATGGAGTAAAATATATAACCGCTAAGGTATAATAATGATATAAATTATAATTGATATATATATATATATATATATATATATATGGAGTAAAATATATAACCGCTAAGGTATAATAATGATATAAATTATAATTGAAATAATATACATCATAAGTATAATTTAATTAGTGGAACAAAATCTCATTAAATCATAATTAATATAATTTAATTATGTTTTTATTAAAATATTCCCAACTGCTTCCCTCTTTGGCTGACACGTGTCCCTATGTAATTACTTGTACCAAATGACTTCATTTGATGAAGCCACGTGTCGCTTCATGATTGCACCTTATTTGCATATTACTCTTCCAATTGGAAACGTTCTATTTTTGTTCATGCTAAGAAACATGCTTACGTACGCACCCATCTGCCCTCATTGAGACTTAAAACATTTTGAAAGGTTAGTAAGTACCCCTAGGCTACATCGTTTAGTATTTCTCTCATTTGACAACAATATAAGTATCATTCATTATCTCTTAATAAAAAATTTTATTATTATTGTACTATTTTACGTCGATTGATCAATAAAATTGAGTTAAATAAACATAAGTGCGTGGAATTATTATGTTACATTTGATTTATTAATGTTTTTACATACATTTGGTTTTGTTGATTATGTCTAATGGAGTACGTACCTTAAGTCTTCTTCTCAGTGACACCAATTTAAGTTTATTCATTATCTATTAGAAAATTGAAATAAATGGGTACATATGGGCTGAGTGTTAGCCATATCAAATACCTTAAGCTTTTTGGTCAGAATACGAAGCACCTGGCACGTTTTAGTATAATGTTACAAGGGGAGATTTAATCTACATCGAATCCAGATGAGAAAGTAAATGGGTATATATGGACTAGATGTTAGCCCTATATAATAGTTTAAGTTTATAAGTAAGATCGCGAAGCACGTACTCGGTCTGTTATAGTTAGTATCAAAGTCAGACACATACCTTAATCCAGTGTCATGCCAAGCGCCCAGCCTATACCCTTTTACCTTAATTATTGACTAAAAAGAATATAGGTGGGATTACTATGTTTCATTATTTGACTATATTGATGGATTTATATCTATAATTAAAAATTAAAATCATGAAATTACTAGTAATTAAAAGAAAAAATTATAATCAAATCTTACGTACTTTTAAGATCTTTTATTCCATTTAATTCCTAAATCACTAAATCTTTTATTTATACCCTTACTAAATAGAAGTAAAATTTTGTAGTTATAAATTTATTCAAGATTTGATATATGGTTTATATTTTTTATTATATCTTTAATTTTTAATTAGTTAAAAATATTGCAATATGGATTTATATATATATAATGATTAATTTAAATTCAATATAAGAATGTTTGGTACGTATTTTTTTTTTTAATCTTTTCTTTATGACAAGGAGTAGTATTTAAAAAAGATCAAATTTAAAGGAAATGTCATTTTAGAGTTAAGTAATGATAGAGAAACCGAAAAGGAATCCCCGAATTTGACGTGCTTGGCCATACTTATCATTTGTTAAACATTTGTTTTTGAAAAATTGTTTAAGTAAATGAGGTGGATAAAAACATGTCAGATTCGATACTTATTCGGGGTTAATTCTTCGGTCTCCCTATCATTATTCTTTGAAATTTTATTAACAATTAATTAATTTGCTTAGGGATTTGGTATTCTAAACCCCTTATTTAAGGAATTACAAAAATTAAATAGTTAAAAATAGTCAACAAAGACATAATTGTGTGGCAAAATAGTTTATATTGCCACGAAAACAAATTCGTTACAAAAATGACATTTCGTCACAAGGATTAAAAATTCGTGGCAAAAGATACTATTTGCCACGAATAAAGCATCGTTGTGAATTACTAATATATTTGCCACGAAAATAGGTACGTGGCAATAGAGCATATCATAGCCATAACTGATAATTCATGATAGAATCTATCTTTTAGCCACGAGAAACTTACTTCGTGCCAAAAAAATATTTTTGCCATGCGAATAACATCATGGCAAATTGTAAAGCGATTTGCCACAAAAATATATACGTGGCAAAAGAAACATACAATTCGTGGTACAAATAGCATTTTGCCACAACTTTGTATGTCGTCCCTAATTCGTCGTAGCAAAATTGACATTTTACCAAAAATTTTTAGGTCATCCATAATATTCGTGGCAAGAACCTAGTATTTGTTACAAAAAATTTACTCCGTGGCAAATACTGATATTTAGTCACAAGAAGATAATTTTGTGGCCAAAAGATACTTTTTGCCACAAATTTTTACGCGTGGCAAAAAATTTCGTGGCAAGAACGAAAATTTGTTGTTGTGACAGTAAGGGCTTCTTAAGTGTATGTGGCAAGGATGGACGGTGGAGATGAGGATGACTAACCACTTTCTGGCCACGAGGATTGATTCGAAGTGGGTGGAGGAGGGGAGGTGGTGATGAGGGGTAGAGGTTTAGGAGGAAAGAATATACATGGTGGCCCACAGGGGAAAAAAACACAGACACACAACCCTTAGACTTACAAAAACATAGAAAACTGCAAATGAACCTAACAAATAAAGGCACATGATAAAAACTGAAAACAACTTCCACATCATATGCAGAGACATCCAAATAAAGTAATTAGGTATCCACATAACCAAGGCCATAATAGTGTCAACAGAGCAGTGATTGTGAAAAGGCAAAATTACATCCTTCTTTGAAGAGCTGCTGCAGATCTTCTAGCTTTTATCGATTTTCGAGCACTTTAACATGATTGAAGCTAATCTCTCTTTGATACATTTTTTGATTGATTAATGATATGGAGAGGTGAGGATGAAATGCATCTAAAGGCTCCATAATTTCTTTCCTGCCATATAAAATATACTACATCAGAAAGTAGTCATTTGTGAACAAGAAAACCTTTTGAGCTTTAGTTAATAGAACACCATAGAATAGAATCAGGTCCTTCCAGCAACTTGGTTGTTGCTTTAACAGTACGTCCAGAAGCTCTTAGCTTTGATTAAATATCTATAAGTCCAATCAACCCAAATACTTTCCTTTCTTCTAGCAAATAGCTTC